CCATTTGAACTTTGGGGCATCCATGCATTAGCTTTCACAAGTTCCTTTTTCTTTTCCTCCAATTTTTTAAGCAACTGAATGGCATCTTCATTTGCACACAACGTCAATTCTATATGATCAGCAGCAACAGATGCAATCGATTGTTTTGCTGTTTCATTAGGTGTCTCTAAATGATAATAAGATATGCTTCGTGCTTTTGCCTCTTTGCTCCATCGATTTAGAATGTAGGTAGATGGAATTCTTCTAACATTCTTCTTGTCCAACACTTTCAATGCATAACGATATAAGATCCCAGCAAAAGAAAACTTCATGCAAGCACAATGTATTGTCTCGTTTGCAGCATCATAATTAACTAAATGCTCTCGTGCTACACCACGGTAAGATACTTTGTATTCATACACCATATCAGACTTACTGATCTTTTTGGTAACGTAATCACCAATAACTCTGTATTGCTTCTCGAACAAGCTAAAAACTTTTGGTGTATACACTTCCTCTGCTTGTTGCAACATCTCTACAGTAGTACATAATACCGGTGAAGTATGCATCATATTGAAGTCAGCAATTAATTCTTTATATCGTCGATCCTACAACACTCTCTCATAGTGTTCAAAGAAGCACAACAAGTTATAACTACGCTTCAAGTACTTTTTCAAAATATTATTCATACTTTCACTACGAAGTGTGCTCACCATATCTGCTGTAAAAGTATGACATCCATATACCATTGCCCATTTTTCTCTTTGCTCAAATAAATTCTTCAACCATTTATCCTGTGTCAATTTATGCTTTTAGAGTATATTTTTCCATGCCAATAACCAATCTTCTTCTTCCTCATGGTCATATACATGCTTACTAAAATCCATGGCAAATTGTTCTGCTCCATGAAATACATGACTCAACTTCTTTGCAGCATTTTGATAAGTATGCCAAACACATAACCGATGTTTTGTTTCAGGGAATACCTTCACTATTGCATTCGCCATTGCTGTACATTGGTCTGTAAAAATTGTTTTTGGTTGTTTTCCAGACATTGCTCCAAGAAAAGTCTCAAAAAGCCACTTATATGACTCGGTAGTTTCATCATATAAGAGAGCAGCACCAAACACAACAGTTTGCTTGTGATGATTGACGCCGACAAATGGAGCAAAGGGTCTATCATACTCATTGGTCTTATAAGTTATGTCCAAGCAAACAACATCTCCAAAAATATTATAATCACTTATAGACCGATCATCTGTCCAGAAGATATTAGTGATCATATCGTCTTTATCAAGTTGCATTGAATTAAAAAAAAAGATGAATTACCATCTTTCTTCTTTTGAAAATATTCCAAAATTGCTCCAGCATCACCCTTTTCCATTTTTGCGATTCGCTTTTGGTATATGTAATTTCGATAGTCTTTCTCCAAAAAACCCAGATTTTCTCTCCCCCCAACTTCTGTACTCATCATTTAAACGGTTGCCTTTGCTGAAATTCCTGACATGTCGGCATCATTAGCATGAAGTTTCTGAGAGACTGAGATTGCACGATTTCCCTTCAACAAATGCTTCATAGGTGTCCTCACTAAATCATGGTAATGATTCGGCTCGAAAGACACAATCTTATATCTTCCGTTGTTCTGAAGGTAGCAAGTCATTATGAGCATTACAACCACACCGTGTGATTGGTTGTGAATAAGATTTTTTGACCTTAGGTTCTTTCCTATACCCCTGTTTTGTGCAAACATAAAGAACCCTTACTACCTTCTCTTTTTTTTTCGTCTTCCGCTGTTTCCTTACGTTGAAACCATGATTGCCTCCATACTGTTTATAAGCTATATGTGCACTCTCATCATAACTAAACTCCATTCCAATATATAGTTCATCTTTCTTCTCTTTCTCTTTGTTTGCTTCAAAAGAACCAACCTCTTTAGTTTGAACATAATCCTCTTTGTTAGCTATGTCATCTTCTTCTTCAAATTCACTGACCGAAGCTTCGTCTACACTTATTGAATCATCTTCTTCCTTGGCTGAAAAGTCAATCGAACTTTGACTTAACAAACCGAATTCACCCGAAACTTGCAAACTGGATTCATACTGATTATAAAGAACAATTTGACTACTCTGAACCGTAATCTGCATGCACTAACCATTTCAAAGCAGCTACTATAATATATATTTATAATTTTGATCGACGTACCTCTCCGGATTCAAAAAATTCTTCATTGTCTTTGGCATCCATAAATGTAGTTTTCATATTAATGCACGTGGAAGACTTGCTAGCAAAAATACCTTTTAATAAATCAGATCTGCACATACAAATTACAAAAACCATCATAAAAAAATTGGTAAAGAAAAAAAAAAAGTTTGATCTTTATTAAAATAATCGTCATCATCATAATAATTAACTATTAAGGAATTCAATTGACTATGTAATATAGACCAAAAAGGGACACAAAAAGCTAACCTAAGCCAACCTAACAATCTTACTAACACTTATACGTCTTAGAATTGGCTTTTTGGCCTAAGATATCCAATTAATAAAACTTTTCAATTCAGAAAACTAACTAGTAATTAGATGCAGAAAACAAGTTACAGATTGTGATTAAAATAAGTTACAGATTATTGGTCGTATGGCGCAGGGGAAGAGGAGCAGATTTCAGCCTTTCAAAAAACAAGTTATCATACGTATCAATGATCGAAAACCTAAAAAAAAAAACGGCAACGACAGTTAACTTAACATTTTTTTTGGTTAATGATTTTATTTTCTTAAATTATTTTATCTTCTTAATTTGTT